TCCCTTTGACCTCTGACCCCTTCCTCTGCTTCTGACCTTTTGCAGATAAGCTGTGCTTCAACACCTTCTTCAACTATGAGGACATGCTGGAGATCACCAAGCACTTTGTGGTGTGTCACGTGGATGCACCAGGACAGCAGGCTGGAGCATCTCAGTTCCCACAGGGGTAGGTGCCTGAGCCCTCTCTGCCAGTCTGGGAGCTGAGTGCAGGGGCAGTAATCAGGCAGAGTGGCATGTGGAGCCATAGCAAGTCTTCTTGCTGGGGAGCTCTGGGTTGGGCCTCAGGAGTTTCATGGTTTGTTTCCCCAGTGGTTGGTGGGTCACCACAGTATAGCCATAGAGTGGGTTCAGCTACCAGAAGCTTTCTGTCTGCTTCAGACACTAGGAAGCTCTGTAGAAGGATGCTTTTGGCATTTGTCCTCCTTCATCCCAGCACCAGAAGGGCCATTTTCTGTGCCACCTCCTGGGCTCTGCAGGGCGGCATTGACCAGGCAACATATCTCAGAAGGAGAGTCACTCTATTTCTCAAACCCTGTAAAGGACAGATTGTGGGATACCTTTCTTTGGCTGAGCTGGCACCCCCCTCAGAATTGCATCAGAGCTGATCCAAGGGTCAGCCAGAGGGAGGGAGCTGGGCTGGGGGAGCAGTGGTGTTAGGGGGAGCAGTGGTGTTAGAGGAAGCGATGGCATATGGATGGGTGGGTGGTACCTTCCCCTCTTAAAGAGCCAAGAACCCCCTCCAGCCCTGGCCTGGGTCCCCTGTTCCCCAGTAGACTCTGTTCCCTTCGGGCACTCCTCCTGCAGGGACACATCACTTCTCTTCTGTCTTCCCCCATCAATGCCTGCAGGTACCAGTATCCATCCATGGACCAGTTGGCTGCCATGTTGCCTAGTGTGGTTCAGCATTTTGGGTGAGTGGCTGGTTGCTAAATGGCTTTGACTCCCTGGTGTGGGACAGTGAGATGGGGCAGGATGCTAAGAGGAATGTCAGATGCCAAGTGTCTGAGGTGTTAGCTTAGGTGCACAAACATGTAGGACTGGGTCCCTAGTGCTGGAAATAAGAATCAGACCAGCCAAACCTCCTGTTAGGGCTGCAGTGACCTAAAAACACCTCAGCTGTGAAGAGCTTCTTGTTGATTCTTCTCAGCCAGAGCTGGACCTGAAGCAGAGAATCCAGGTTGTGAAGGCTTCTCAGTCCTCTTCCTAGTCTGCTGCATCATCCATTTCTCACTATCCTAGGGTGAAGCTGAAGGTACTAGAAAGGACTGGCTCTTCTTCCATGACTCAGTGCCATCCTGGTGGGATGGGGAAATCCCCCTGTCTCCTAGAAGAGCTGCATTGGATGGTACAGACTTAGAGCTTGCCATATGATCTTCATAAAAAAATCACAGGAGTCATGTGATCTGTGTTCTCCAGGTCCCCTTCTCCTGACCTGCCCTGTCACCTTCCTGATGCATAATAAGGGAAGGTGCTTCCTGGGGGCCAGCTAGTCCAGGAGGCTGGCAGCAGGCTATAGGGCCAGTCAGATTCAGCCTGGGTTGGTGGTAGCCATCTGACAGCTGATGAGCTCATCTGTTTCTAGTCCATGGACTAGCAGGGATTATTGGCAACTCCATTGGGACCATGCTGTCTCTATATTTCAGGTTCAAGTATGTGATCGGAATCGGCGTGGGGGCAGGAGCCTACGTTCTGGCCAAGTTTGCTGTAAGTGAGACCTCAGCTTGGTGATCCCAGGTCCTCTGGCTAGGACGGGATATGTGCTGCCATGAGCGTGACCCACATCCGGCTCCATTAAAGCTGGAGGACCCTTGCACCATGTCACAGGGGGTTGACTGGAAAAGGCTCACAGCTGTGGTCTTGTCCTCTCTGCTAGGCTTGCCCTGCTGCTGGAAGGGAGAGAATGGCATGATATGAAATCTTGGGGCAGGATCCCTATGCTCATGACAGTGAGTTCCAAAGTCCAGGTCCTGCTCTGGTGATGCTACTGTCCCCTGTTCTCACTGACACTTTCATTGGTCTGAAAGAGGTTTCAATGAGGGAGAGGGAAGTGATTTCTTGGGTAGCTAGTCCAGCTGCTCCATTTGGGCTGGTTGGAACATTTCTAGGGCATGGGGCTTCCTTCTCGTTGCAGTGAGTTACAGTACTCAGGTCAGGAGGTTACCAAGCAATGCGAGGATCACCATTACCTAAGCAGTCTGTATGGGGATAGAACATAATCTCTTGGTCATTTGGGCGTGTCTCATGTCATTATAGCTCTTTGGGTGTATGGTATGACTGAACAATACACAGAAGTCTCAACCCAGAGCCCTGGTGTAACAGATGGTCTTGAGGATGGGTAATGTCCTATCAGCTTTTATCAGTGGCAGCTGGCTGTCCTCCACAGGCAGGGCATGATTTTGGCTGAGCACTGGAGAGCTGAGAGAGAGTCCTGTTTTTGAATGATGCACAGGAAATAAAGAACTGGAGTCATGGGTGTTCTGTGTCCACATTATCTTGAATTATCTCACTTGTTTCATGGAGATGTGCAACATGGGGAGAATCCGAGACCTTGGGCACCTACCACCAGTCAACCTGCAGGAAGGGCCACTTAATGTCCTTTCCCGTTTCCTCAGCAGATTCTTGGGAGTGTGATGGAAAGCTGGGTGCTAGGGGCTGCAGGAAGCACCAGCAGGAGGAAGGTGGAACTACTTTCCTATGTCTTTGGGCAGGAGGCAGGGTTCAGCAGAGGCACTAGTGCCAGCTGGGCACTGTGCCACACCCCACAGCCTGACTGGAAAGGATACAGGGCAGCAGTAGATGGTGATGGAGGCTGCTTTGTCTTAGACTCTCCATGAACCTGCTCAACCAAGGGAAGGTGGGAGGCCAAGGGCAGTGGTTTGCAAGATCCTGGTAGATCAGTGGTAGAGCTGGTAGATCAGTGTTTCTCAACCTTTTAGACACAAGGCTGTCCTTGTTAGACTCAAGGTGCCCCTCAGAAAATGCCAGCTATTTGTTTTCTCTCATTTTTTGACTACATAAAAATACCAGTGTGATTCTTCTGTTGCCAAGAACTCAGAAAGACCACAGCAGGTCAGAATGCTTTAACATTATGCATTCCTATTTGAAGTACCCAGGATTATCTTTGGAATCATATTTGCACACCTAACAATGTAAATATTGTGTGGAACCCACAGCGCCCTTGAAAGGATCTCAAGGCACCCTGGCTCTCTGGTTGTTAAGGTAGATGGTGGCATGCTCCCCACAGCGAGGGCTCTCTCTGTTCGTCCCCTAGGAGAAGGGGTTTGCTGCCATTGCTTAGTTTAGGATCTCCATGCCGATGTATCCACACTTCTGCCAATCACACCGCTTAGTACCAGTCTTGCAGTGCAGTGAGCAATAGCCTGTGTCTGTTTGGCTGCAGCTGATCTTCCCAGACCTGGTTGAAGGGCTTGTCCTGATGAACATTGACCCCAATGGCAAAGGCTGGATTGACTGGGCGGCCACCAAGGTAAGCAGTTTCTGTTCTTCTGGCCCCATCTGCCCTCTGGGATGTGCTTGCCCCAAGTCCCTCAGAGCTGATGTTGACCTTGTACAGGTGGAAGCTGCAACTGTGTCCTCCAGTGGATAGAGAACTCTGTGTATGAAGGAAGCTGTACTCAGAGAGACTGACTCCAGGAACATAGGCTGGGGCAGTCTGAGGCACCTCGGCTCCATGCAAGGGTGACATCTTCACCTCACAAATCACCTCTTCCCTGAGTCAGCCCCACAGCTGTGGGCCTAAGGCTGGGCCTGGGTGCACCAGTTCCCCAGAAATAAGGGACACTCTTCTCTGCCTCAGACATGTTACTTGTCAAGCCACAGATTTTTCTACGCTTCAGTGCATCCAGGCTTCCTTTAATGCCCTCCCCATTAGAGGCCCCTGAGCTAGGGCCACCCAGTCCTATCTCTCCCTTCCCATAGCGGTGGTGAGGTGGAATGGGAAGCAGTGTCTTGGGCTGGTCTGTGCAATGCTTGTGGTATTTTCTGTCTGCAGCTGTCTGGCCTAACCAGCTCTCTGCCTGACACTGTACTATCGCATCTCTTCAGCCAGGTAAGGGGGATGAGACATTGCTTACAGCTGCCTTCTGGGAAGGCCCAGGCAGACCACACAGGGACCTCTCTCCCAAGGAATGGGCTGGACTGGCTCCTCAGGGTGTCTGGCTGTCTCCTGTTGGTTTCCCTCCCCTCCCCTTGGACTTATGGGGGCCATGAGCTTCTAGGGAGGGGTTGACAGAAGGCCATATCCTTTCCCTGCTGTGGAGGAGGAGAGCTGCTGCATTGGCTTGAGGGGCCAACAAAGAGAGTGGGCAGCAAGTGCTGAGTTGTACGTGCTTTGTTGGCATATGCCCAGGAAGGGCCCATTGATGAGGGTGGAGCATGGGGGTCCTATTGGCCCCTCTCCCCCAGCCAGCACCATCTTCCCACACTGCAGCCAGGATGGGACCCATAGGACTGAAGTCCCCCCATAGATCATCAGATCCAATCCCTTGGGTCTGAACCAAAGCCCAGAGCTGGCCCCAACCCCAAATCTGGGCTACTCCTGATCGGGACTCTTGGTGTCTCAGCAGGCCCCTCCTCATACTGAGCTGAACCCAAACCTCAGACCCTGATCCTTGAAGAAGTCATGGGTTTGCAGGTTCAGCCTTTATCCTGATGGCAGCCAGAGGCCTAGCAAGGCTGTCCTGCAAGGTCAGCCTGTCTGGCATATGGTCTCTGTAGGGGCTGTGAACAGTGCAGGCTTCCAGGGTAGCCCTGGGGTCTCTCTTCTCCTGACACTCTGGAAGGGGCACATGGCCAGGGCCCACCATGTAGGACTCCCAGGCTCCAGCAGCCAGTTCTGCCCAACATTACAAGCCCTGGCCTGGGTGGAGGGGAGCCTTCCGTCCTGCTGTGGGTATCCTGGGCTTCCCTCTGCCTGAGTGAGGCCTGTCTCTCTTGTCTGCCCGTTGGCACATGCAGGAAGAGCTGGTGAACAACACAGAGCTGGTGCAGAGCTATCGGCAGCAGATCAGCAGTGTGGTGAACCAGTACAACCTGCAGCTGTTCTGGAACATGTACAACGGGTGAGGGGCTGCCCACCGTGGCACTCCAGGGTGGGCTGGATCTCTGCCTGTAGTGCCCACTTTGGCCATGTGGGGCTATAGGGCCAGTGAATGGGAGGGGGAGGCAGGGGGGGCTGATCCTTTTCCTCCTGGAGCTGCCCCCTGCTTGGGGCACTAAGCCAGGTGCCCAGGCTGCCTTGGGGCTGGGGAGGGCCTTCCAGCTGGGTGGTGATTGTCCAGTCACTGGGCTTTGCATTGGGCTTTCAAGGCCATTGGTAACTAGGATGTTCCTTGAGCAGCATGATGGGATTGATGGTGGATTTCTGTTTGGTCTGCCCAGGCAGGGTGCCCTGGTGGTAGAGCTGAGCCTGAGACAAGTACAGAAAACCCTAAACCAGGTCCTTCGCTGGGAATGTGAGACTCCATGAGGCAGCACTAGCATCCAGCTGCTTCCTGAGCAGCAGGGTGCCACAGCCTAAGGCCCAGGGGATGCCTGTGTGTTGCCACCATAGGAGCATTGCTAGCACCCTTCCTGAGCTGCAGGAAGTGGAGGTGTCAGGCAGAGGGAGCTGCCAGGCCTCCTTTATGCCATCCCGGAGCTGTGCCACCTCATTCTAGGGCTCTCACCTCACTCTCTCCCTTTCTCTGCCTCTCCCTCAGCCGCAGAGATCTGGACATTAACCGGCCTGGGACTGTCCCCAATGCCAAAACACTCCGGTAAGTCACGCCCTGGTCCTAGGAGGTCTGAACGGGAACCCGGTCACTGCAGATCAGCCCCTGACCCTTCTCCTCTTCTTGGTGTTTCCAGCTGTCCTGTGATGCTGGTGGTGGGAGACAACGCACCTGCTGAAGATGGGGTGGTAAGTAAAGGGTTAAACTTGTGCTACTTGTTAGGGCCCTGAGGAAAAACTGTATCACCTCAGACACATGCATATTCACGCACATGTGACACGCACACACACACACACACAAGCGCACTTCTCCCCAGCAGCTGAAATCCCTGCCACCACCCCACTTCTCTGCTTCCTGGCCAGAGGGATCCAGGTCCTAGGAGGGCCCTGAGGGACAGGCTGGGTCTCTGATTTCCTACCTAGACCCCAGCCTCCCTCTCCATTTGCAGGCTGTTCTAAGAATTAAATAGCAGCAGTTGCGCAAGGACAGTGGTTGGCAACCTTTATGGTCAGCAGGTCAGGGCTTGTAGCCAGCAGCTTCCATGGGCTGCCAATTGCCCTCTTCCCCTGCTGTCTCTGGCATGTGCCCTGCCAGCTTTTCTTGTCATTGCTATGAAATGCCACAGATTGATGTGACCAATGATTATGCAGAGGGGCGAATTGCTAATCAGACAAACAGAGCAGGGAGGGAAGGAGAAGGGTGGAACATGGCACAGGGATGGTCCAGTGCCCCTGCACTTTTGTGCCACCAATCCCTTAGCTACCATGGGCCAGATCAAACATTCTGCAGGCTGGATCCCCACAGGCTGCGGGTCGCTCACAATGCCTGCACTAGGAGGATTAAAGTGACCTCATGGCCCAGGGCAGAGACCCAGGCACCCTTCCTGCCTTCTCCACCTCTTATGCCTCCCACCTTTCCCTTCCTGCTCTCGGGGGCACGGTTCCTAATAGAGATGACTGCAGGGGGAAATCAAGTTTGTTGACAGTGATTGGAAGTATGGAGCCCTGTCAGCTGCCCTGAGTCCTGCTGGGAGATCTGGGCAGCAGTGCCAGGACACTCCTCAGAGGTTCAAACAGGTGAACAGTTTGGGCCAACTCCTCTCTGTCTGTCTATTTCCGTTTTCTAGGTGCCTTTTGTTCTAACCCCATTTCTCACACTCCCTTGCTTCCTGGTTTCTACCCAGCTAATTGTTAATTTTCCATCACAGCTGCCCCCCACAATCAGCCTCCATGTCCCCTTCAGACAAGTACATGGGGTGCCTAGTCAAAGGACTCCTTCAGGAGCTGTAAGGCAAGAGGCATGGCCAGGGCAGAGTCTGGGTGATGGCCAAGGTTGACTGCCTGGTGGGTAAACCTTGCTCTTGTTCCTGGCAGGTGGAGTGTAACTCTAAGCTGGACCCAACCAATACGACTTTCCTGAAGGTAACCAGACCCATGAGTGACTCAACTGCAGAGGGAGAGGCCAGTGACCATTCTGGGATTGAGAGGACAGGGCAAGGTCTTGTCTCTATGTCCCTCAGAGCCCCACAGCCCTGCTCAGCCCCCTCCATCCCAGCTCTGCCAGTTTGCACCTGGCAGTTGGAACCAGGCTGATACTGGGCTACTCCATGGGGTGCCCCTCACTGGTCTGTCCCCATCCTAGATCCAGTACTTGAGCTCCAGACATGGGGTGTGTGGCCCAGCCACCCTGAGTGCCCACGCTTGCCCTGCTGGGTGCCCAGGGGGTAGGTAATGGTTGGGAGGAGGCCACCTTGTGGCCTCATCAGGCATTGCACCACAGATCAGCCATGCTGAGGGCCTTGGCCTGGTCAAAGGGCTAGGGAGAGGGTAGGCTGCATTGTGCCCACTGCAGGGGAGCCACCTGGCTTGGCCTCCCTGCAGGTGGTAAGAAAACCAGGGGAGACATGTGTCAGTTTTCACAGGAAGCATTGTACCCCAGCTCCTGGCCAGAGATGTGAGCTCTCCCACACCGAGCTGGCTCCCTGCTGAGATGCCCAGGCCCCCGCAGTGGCTCCCAGGGGCCTTTGCAACCCCTGTTTTGATTTAAACATGGGGTCTCATCCTGCTCAAGCCAAGCCAGCTGGGACTGGGGGTGCTTGGCAGTGCTCAGGACTGGGCTTAGTGTCTGTGACACCAGGGAAGCTCCAGGCAGCCCCAACTGTTGCAGACTTCCTGTTCCCAGCCCTGCAGTGGCAGGGTGTAGGCAGCAGTGCTCAGCTGAGCGGGGGGAAGGAGCAGACTCTGAGCCCCCGTATAGGATAGATCTGTCCTGCGGTGCATCACTAACCCTGTTCTGCTCCCCTCCGCAGATGGCTGACTCCGGTGGGCTCCCACAGGTCACACAGGTGAGTCCCCAACTCCCCCACCCTGCTCCTTCTCTTTTGCCTGATGCCCTGTGCCCAGTCACCCAAGAACGATGTGACAGGGCACCCCTTCTCCCACTGCATTTCCAGACTCCACAGAGGAGGAAGCAGGAATCTCTTATTCACAACAGGGAGGGGCTTTTCAGGAGGGTGGGGCAGGGACAGAGTCCATTTGTCTCCTCATGGGCAATTGTACCCGGGTGGGAGGATGGGGCAGGGGGTCCCTCCCTGCTGGGATTGTGGCAAAATCCACCCTCAGGCCTGGCCGTGGCCATTCTGCCCCCCTGCCCCTATGTGACCATCCATTTCCTGCTACAAAGTACTAACACATCCCCCAGGAGTGGGTGAATTGGGAGGGGGCTGTACAGGGGGGTGTCTTGGGCTCCCTGGTTGCTGCAGACCATGGCCAAGAAGCCTGCTTCCTCCCTTTCTGAGCGAGCCAGTGCCACCCTGAGCATCTACCTTCTCTCCCACAACAGCCTGGAAAACTGACCGAAGCCTTTAAGTACTTCCTGCAAGGGATGGGCTACAGTAAGTGCTGTGTTGCATGAAGGCTTGTGTGTGCCAGTGTGCATGTGCCTAGGAGCATACGTGCAGCTCTGTAACTAATGTGCCTGTGAGGAAGGATGTGTCTTGGGGGGGACAGGACACCATGCACACAGAGTGGGGGAGATGCTTAGGGAAGGAGGAGAGAGAGCGAGAGAATGTAAATATGTTTGTGCATGAAGATGTGTGGATGCAGGTGCACGTTACGTGCTGGGTTTGTATGTAGAGGTGTTGCCCTGCATGTCTCTGTGTGCGTGGACAGGCGTGTGTCATCCCTTCTGCTGATGATCAGTGGAATTAAGGCCCATCTGTACAACCTAGGCAGGGCCTCTGTGTATGTGTGTGTTGGGGGAAGGGGGTTCGTGTGCGTGGTTATCGATTGCAGAAACTGGGCTACACACAAGGCTCCATCCTGCTGCTGATTGCTGGAACTGGGGTCAGTGTAGACAGGTGCTGTGTGCATGCATGTCTGTGTGTGTGCATGTGTTGGCTGTGTGTGCACACACGTGTGTGTGCATGTGTGTGGGCAGGGCCCATGTGCCCAGTCCACCGTGCCATCTCTGTACCTGCCACTCTATTTTGTGGTCATCCCACTTGAACTGCTTCCTGGGGTTGAGCCAGTCTTGACGGTCTCTTTTTCTCCAAACATCCCTTGTTTCCCTGCCCCCTTCTCTCGCTCTCTGTCTCTCTCAGTTGCTTACTTGAAGGACCGGAGGCTGAGTGGAGGAGCAGGTACCCGTCACTGCTGCTCACCCTCGCACTCATCCGCTGCATGTGCCCCTGCCACCAGCTCCATGTGCATTGCTGCAGGGGGGCTGCATCCCAGGGTCCATCCTGGCCACCTGTCCCCTCCCCCATGTCCCATGCAGATAGGAGCAGTGACAGATACGTCACCCAGAAAGGGCAGCTGCAAGGCTTGCTGGGGTGAAAAAAGTCTCAGGCAAGCTTTGGAGGAGGCAGGGTCAGGAAAGAGGGAGGGGGTTGGGTGCAGGGAGGAGTGACTGAGGGCCCCCCCCCCCCCACTCCTACCCTTGGTAACTGCTCAAGGGTGGCTTCAGAACAAAGCCTGCAATTGCCCCAGGCCAGTGGCATCAGCACTTACAGAGCTGACTGGCAGATGGCTGATAGCAGCTGTGAGGGAGGGCTGCTATGAATCTGGTCTAGGAAAGAGAAGTGGGGCCTGTTACTGATTCTCTGCTGGAGCGAGCCCTGCCCTTGCAGCTGCTGAGCTGCTGGTGCTGTGCAGGCAAGTGGGCACTCTGGGCAGGGCACCGCTGATGGGGTGGCCAATGCTGCTGCTCTGGTGTGTGTGTGTGTCTGTGCAAGGGATGGACTTAGGAGCTGGGCAGCAGGGGATGCCGCCTGCTTTGCACTGCTACTGGGCTGCTGCGTTTGCCTCCCAGGAGTTTGGAAGCAGCTTGGTCCAGGCCGGGGGAGGCTGGGCCCTGCCCAGAGCCCTCAGCAGCCAGCAGGCACTAGCCTGGGAGAGCGTGGGAGGATGTGGCAGAGGGGAGGAGTCCTGTGGTGGGGATCTCCTCCTCTCCCCTGTGTGACAAGACAGTGGGCATTGAAACACTCCTCCTTTGGGATGTGGGATTCCTACAGCAGCTGGCACAAGCTTGGAGCTGGGGCAGGGAACTGGGTGCAGCTCTCACTGTGTTGTGGAGCCTCTGGGTCAGCGTGTGATGCCCCAAGACAGCCCAGCTCCCACCTGCCCACACTACAGACTTCCAGCTGGGTGAGGGAGGGGGGGTGAGGGGGCAGGTTTGGCCTCCAGTGCAGTGCCTGCTCACCCATACACCACCACTAGGCTGTCCCACCATTGTGAGGGGGGTGTCCAGAGGCCTTGGTGACTTCTGCTCTGGGATAGTGGTGGAGAGCAGAGACCTGAGGGGTGAGGGGAGGAAAGAGCCCATTCTCCTGGGAGCACCTCATCTCCCCAGAGGGGCAGCTGCCTTTCTGCAGTCTTCTGCCCCTGGGCCCTAGAGCATCCTCTGCCCCCACATGGAGGCCACTGTGTCCCAGAGACCAGTGCGTTCCTCCAGCCCTGTATCAGAGCATGAGGCTAATACCTCCACCCCACTTCCCCACTGGTTTGGACCAAGGATATGTGCTCTTCCCCACCTGACCTGCAAAGGAACCTGTGTCCTTGTGGGCACAGTTGCACGCTGGTGTCCTTGTGCAGGGCCCCTCTTACAGCCATGCTGATGTCAGATAGTGAGTTGGCTGGTGGGGGTGGGATTGCGCCTGCCTAACATGGGGAGCGCCAGGCACGAATAGCTAGCTAGGCAGTCCCTCTGCCAGCACAGCCCCACAGCCTTCTGGTGCAGCTGGGCTTGAGTGGCAAGAGCCTCCCCTCAGCCATCTCAGGGACAGAGAGATGGAAGGACCCCACCATGCATGACCTCCATCGCAGGCCTGGGGCAGTCCAGCTCTTGTTCTCCTGCATGCTCCAAGCTTGAGCAGGTGGGAGCTTGAACCCGAGTGTGGTTAACTGCACAGGTGAGCCTGGGACTTTGCTGATGGGGCTTTGCTTGTGCACTGTCCACTCGATTCCTCATTGCAGCCCCTGGTGAGACACTTTTAGTGCTCTCTCTCCACCCCCTCCTCTTTCTCTTTCTCTGTCTCACTGTCTCCAGTGCCCTCAGCCAGCATGACTCGCCTGGCCCGCTCCCGCACTGCCTCCCTCACCAGCGCCAGCTCGGTGGATGGCGCCCGCCCACGGGCCTGCACCCATTCGGAGAGCAGTGAGGCCATGGGGCAGATCAACCACACCATGGAAGTATCATGTTGAGGCTTTCGGTACTGGCACCGTCTCTGCCTCCCCTCCCTCCTCCACTGGAGCCATTTAGCATTGTTCTGCATCAAGTTGCCATCCCAACTGCCATCCCGCGCAGCGTCTGATGGTCCCTCTGTCAGGGTTCCCTTCCCTTTGTTGCTGGTTTCTTTTTTTTATTTCTTCATTTTAATCTGTCAGGAAAAAAACCCCGGGGGTGAGGGAAAGCATCACTCGAACACCGACAGCACAGACCATCCCTAGCAGTAGCTGTGACATTGACCCAGTGAAGTTACCGTGTTGTCAGTCAAGCAGTGACGAATCTCTCAATGGGCTGGTACATAGGTTTCTTCCATGCAATTGGCTTGGGAGCTGTGGCAGACATGGGCTTTATTTCCCCTTTCCCCTGCGTACTTCACTGGTAGAAGCTGAAGGTGGAAATGGGACAGCCAAGTGTCCCAAAATGAGGTGGTTGTGGGTTCTGCGCTGCTGCTTATGGGCCTTAAAGGCTGGATTCCCTAAGCAAAGGCTGCAGTTGGGAAAGGACATGGAGCCTGCAGGCTGAGATGCGGCATGATACCCCACGTCCACGTGCCAACTGTCACTGAGGGGCCTATCCCAATTCAGTCTTGCCCAGTGAGGGAGTGGGGGATACAACGATCTGTCAGGGGTCCTGTTTTCTTAGTTAAACATCAAATTAAGTACTTCAAGGGCCGCTCCCAGTCACAACCATCTTGTGCTTTCTGATCACCCTCCCTGAGGGGAGTTGACCAGAACCATCTAAAAGCATGCACCTCTATTGCTTGAGCTAAAAGACTGTCCAACTTAATCTACTCTGGTACTGGCCAGCATCTTGACTTCTTGATATTAAATAGCTCCATGTTAAAGGCCAGGCAACTCTTGAACTGCTACTCCAGTCACTAGAGGGAGACCAGAACCCATACCACAGAAACATGGCTTCCCTCCCCATGTTACTGTGTGGCTGGATGAAGGCACCCATGGGATCAGGGGCCAATTTCAACGAGCACTGGAAACATGTCTGTAGGCTGGGACCAGTCCAAGAGGGCAGATTTGAGCAGGCTCATCCTGGGTGCATCTGCTCAAACTTCGCTTATTTGCTCACTGTTCTGTGCACTTAAGACCATGAAGGGAGGTGACTGGCATGTGTGAGGGGACAGCCCACCCCAGGCAGGCTGCTGCCTTGGTGTCACTGGGATTTCGTCTTAATCCCACTGAAAATGTTTGCCGGCCAGCGCAAAATAACCTGGTACAGATGGACCTCAAAAGCATGTACTAGGAACCCTGCCCATCCAGAACAGGAAGTTGAATTGTTTAAAGCAGGAAGTGACATGTCAGGAGGATGGGGCATTAGCCCCTTCCCTACAACCCCACCCAAAAAATGCTAGGGGTTGAGCTCTATAGAAGCCTGTAATCATGAAAATAGCAATATGTCACTGAATAGAGAACTTGAGGTGCACTTGGAGACCCATTCCCAACGGCCGAGGGCTGCCAGGAAAGGGTCAGTCCCCTTCCAGTTCCAACAAACTGGAGGAGGCCCCAGCTGTACCAATAGCTCTGGATGTAGCGTGGGAATGAGCAAGCCCTGGGTATAAGCCCCTGCTGGAAACACAGCCAGGCCCGGGGCTCCCAAGGGACCATGGCCACTCCTAAGCTTGGGTTGCCTTGTCTGTGGCTCACTCCTGCCTCTCCCCACATCCTCCTAATGAGTGTTTCGCAAGAAGGACAATCAATGACAGCAACCAAAAACAGACTCCCCTGGTCCCTAGGCTCAGCCTTACTGCCTGCCCCCCCATACAGAGCAGAGGGTCTGGCTGGGTGGGTGGCAGAGCAGGAAGGCTCTGCTGAGGCCAGAAGCTGGAGAGGACTGTGATGTGGGGACTGATCATGGCACTTTCCACAATGGGGGCTCCCAGGATTCCTCTCTCACTCTGTGGGGTGGCTGCAGCTTGGCCAGACACTCCTGGGGGAGGCCTTGTGGTTCTGTGTGCTTGAATCTATGACACCTGGTGATGGTCACATCTATGGCCCTAACACTGGAACAGCACGGTCAGACAGCTTTTGGGCTGCTGCTGGTACAGCACAACAAGGTGCCCTGTGTGGCCGAGACCTGTAGGCAGGAAGCAGGGGAAATAATTAACAATGCCTGAGGGTGGGGGGGGCTTACATCCTCTGTGGCATCTTGCAGACCTCATTGATGGCTTGTTCTCATGCTCACCTTGCCATAGGGCGGGGGAACAAGCTTGCAGGTGGCCAATTGCATGAAGCCAGCAGGCCAGGACTGTACATGAAGCAGATGGCCATTTCGAGGCCTGGGGTCCATCGCAGAAACATCTGCATGGGGTCCCTTGCGGAACCAACCCAAAGCGGGTAGG